CTACGGTATTGGTTTCGTGGGAAAGGTACTGGACTGGGCACTGACCGAGGTGCTTTTACTGGTTTCCCCCCTACTGTGAAACCCCTACTGGGTGGGTTCGAAACTTCCTCAACATGGATCATCTCTCAGGATCATGATTGTGTGGCGTTGATATCTATGCATTTGTCGTAAGGAAACCGGTAACGGCCATTGCCGTGAATATCATGATAGGCAGCCGCAGTACCATGGACGATTCCAACGGAACGGGGTTCCGCGCGACAGTGGTGTTTTGGTCTCTGACGATCTGCTGAACTGCGGTTTGGGTACGACTAGGGGACCACGAAGATGGACCTTGTGTTTTATGCCCCTGTGGGAAGTTCAGAGCCGAGACACAGAACAGTACCGATTTTACGTCCTCCCCATGCGCCCCGTCTTTGTCCGCGATCCCCGCTAGCGGTTCCCGACTATCTGTAGCTTAGAAATATAAATTTCTCTACTCACCACTGTATCGGAACAAAGGCCGACGGTGGGCCACGGGGCACAATCACTGCGATCACCACTGTGATCTATCCAGTCGGCCTGCCGCACATGACGCCACTCGTGTGCCGATTCATGTCTTTACCTCCATCGTCTTGCGCAACAGGTCCCCTGCGCCAACCGCTGTAAGCAATCGCCTAATCTGAGGCTTTAGAGACGAAGATTGTGATTTGCTGAGCGCCTGAGGGCCCTGCTGGGGTGCCTACGTGATGTTCACTTTGAACTTTTCGAAAGGTTGACGGTGTTGGCATGGATGGATCATTGTTTGGCGCTGAGAACCAGACAAGCTGTTGTTCACACTGAAAACCTCCTTCATCCAATAGAGTCAATGCAGTTGTCATTCCTACAGCACTACATCTGGACAGTATGGTGTTATTCCTTGGTTCAGAAAGCAGGATCAACCTCAACTGCTCTAGTGATATTCGCTGAGACATGCAGTCACTTAAAACCACACAATTATTTGATCTCATGGGGAAGCGATGCTCCGATGTCTTCGGTATTTCGGGTGATTGTTTTTGTAGAGGCGATACAGAGCATCTTACCGTTCTTAAGGTCGCCTGTTATATTGAGTCTTCGCAGAAGATTGTCTCGCGGCCACGGAGCCGTCCAACACATGTAGCCGAGCGAAACGGGAATGCTTGCCGGCGGGACTATCGGCAGCAACCAAAAGGAGCGCGGAGTGATGAAGGGATGTCATTGGGTCAACTGAAAGTATCAGGGGTAGATATTGATAGGTCCAGCTCTTTCAATACTCAAAGATGATTGCTTTACTCGATAGTGCCGATGGTCCTTTTGCAATCGTATTGGTAGACGTCCTGAGAAGACACGGGCGCCGTGCCGCTGGACGGAGCATCTCGGATGGAACGAGTAAACCCGGGATTATTGCGGTGAAGGCCCTCTCGTATTCTTTCGTCCTTTACAAACTGTCCTGGCGACCCCTATTCGAATATTAGTGACCGTTTTACGGCAAGCAAAGATGGGCCGCAGCTGAGCCAATTCTCTGCTCATTCGGAAAATCCGGTCTTTGTGTCCTCAACCTCTATGATGGGGTCGCCGCGCTGAGGCCCGAATGCCGGGCCGGATCTCGTCTTTATATCAGGGGTTGGCCCTGCCCGAATTTTGTCAGTCGCGCGAGTTGTGCTGGGCGCTCGAAGGCAGATCGATCAAGAATCACGCAAAGGTTCCGACCGGCGCAACCAAGTCATACCAAGCTTTCCTTCGGCAATCATCCTTGCTGTGCATGTAGCGAAGACTCCGATATAGTAGCGCAGCTTTCATGTCATGAAGTGGGATGGCTCAACCACAGTATGGTGATGGATCCCGGGCAGTAATGCGTTGCTTGACTGGCAATTGATTAAGGTGGCTAAAGCGTTGGTAACGAATTACACCCCTTTGTACGGTTCATTTATTAGCCATAGAGGCTTTCCTGTGAAGTCCAGTCCATCCTGGCCCTCATTAACGCCTCTGTGACAGTTACTCAGCATTTCAAAAGGTGCACCCGTAGGCGAAAGCCTCACATCCGATACAAAAGCATATCAGAAAGGTTCAAGCGGGAAGGAAGAAGAGAGCAAGAATCGGTGTCAATTTATGCAATCTGAAGTCCACCAAGAAGATAAGTGAATTGACGGGTGTGTAATACATCTGCCCAATCCTGTGTATTGGGTTGTTATCTGTATCCCCTTCGACGTGCTGTTTCCTCAGACTCTTTTGCAATATGTTCCACGGCTGCTGCACTTATTGTCAGCAGACATCTAGCGATCACAAGCCGAAGAAGAATAAAGGAAACAGAACAAGCACAGATGCTCTTTGCTTGTGCTCGACTGAAACCAATTCTTAGTTGATGACTCGCTCGGGGTTCGTGGCCATTGGACCGTTCAACGGGGTCGTGTTTCTTATCTGTTGGTGTCTTATGGAAACAAAACCTTGATCATTCCCATCAAAGATAAAGACGCTCAAGTTCTTGTCTTAGAGATCTGTTTCTCCTGACGGTAATAGCCACCCTGCAGGCCAGTAGCTGTCCGGCGTCTTCTTTGGTGTCCTTTCTGCCACAACAGGGTTGGCTTCTTGAGCCGCAGGCTCGTCGCCAGCCCCTTCACTGTTGAGGCTTACTTGAAGCTGATCCGTTAGAAAGTCTACGGCAGCTGTGTTCTGGAACTCCAACGTCGCCGTTGAGAGCGCAAAGCTGTTCGGGTAACTGGAAAATGCCAATTTTGTAGCAGAGACTGGCAAGGCCGAGTCAGAGATAGATGCATGACGTACCATCGGATGACAGCAGTAGTAGGTTATGGGAGTTAACGATTAACGGCTGCGGCCACTGGGTGAGTACCCTGATGGATGGACGCGGCTATCCTGACGGCTCACTCTCAAAAGCTCCCGCTACTGTGGGAACTTTTGGAGAGCAACAGTGGCTTGGATTGCAGCTGGCCCGTACAGTGAGGGGCTTCAAACGCAGGACTGATCAGAGTGGCGTGAAGTGGCTTGATTAATATAGCTACGAGCGCCTGGCTACAAAATGGTGTGGCCGATCCCTTATGTAAAGATGAAATTCGGGCCGGGATTCGGGCCCGGGCCCGGCCGACTACCGTCTCGCAAGAGCGTAGACGTCCTCGGACGCAGCCAAAATGCTGCGTCCGAAGTTTCACTGCACCACAAGTCATACTGCGGCCTCCTGATCTCACTGATGCGGATACACGACTTATTCGCGCTGTGGCGTACTCTATTTCGACGTCGTATGTATGCGCTGTGGAGCTTAGTTATCAAGTGATGGGTCTATGTTTGCTGGACCTGGAGCTCGTGGGTTGAAACTTTTTACCTGAACGCCTTTTTGGCAGAAGTTGCTGGCGGCATCACATAATTCGGGTGGAACTTTCCAGGTGTACATTGAACGAGACGCAGAATCCCATGCGCGCTTCACCAGACGAGACAACTCGTCGCCCGCGCCTCACTGGACGAGACCGTCTCGTCAGCGCTTCCCCGAGCGAGACTGAGATTCTCATTACATACCTAATGTGGGTAGGTGGAGTGCAGGCTGAAGCTCTCCCACCTACAACACTCAGCTTACGCGCAGTCCCCGCCGCTATTTACGGGCGCATGACGCTGTCCGAGTCTTTGTCCCAATGCTACAGCACCGCAACATCCACCTGGCACCACATTCGAGTACTATCGCGCTAATGCACCCAGCCTCTGCTTCACCCCCGTGCCTGCACTGTCGTCTGCCATCTCACAATGGTCGAGCCCTCCATATACCAGTTGTCTAACCCTGAGAACTGGATCATAAGGCTTCTTCGTTGCTCCTATAATTTTCATGCACATCGGTTCTTGTCCAGTGGGTAACAAGCCAGGGTTGTACTGTACTGAGAAAGCAAACGCGGCGTGCCCCCTTTCCCGTGGCACAGAAAGCAGTCGACAAGAATGAAACCTTTCTCTCTTTATCGACCCGTCATGTTTGCCATATCCGGATCTGCATCGGCAAGATGGGGGACGAGAACTCATTGAGAGATGCCGAGTCTCCGGAAAAAGTGCGTAATGAAGGCTCAGCTGTGGAATCATAGAGAGCCTAGGCAGAAGGCACACCACATCTGCCCAAATGCAAGAACCCAGACAGATATTATTGTTTGCCAGGTGCGAGAGGCAATGCTTTTCATGAGGTTTGTAAGGTTTATGCAGCTGCTGCGCGCCCGGCCGCAGCAATCGGTGAGCAAAATGTCCGGGGTGGGGCGGGAGGCGGGGTGGGGCCGTGCCAGATGCCGGCTCCGATGTCCCTAGGTACATCTGACACCTTGATGCCCTGGGCCACACCTTCATCCGCGCACGGATCTTCACCCCGACACCCTCCGATGGACCACTGACGCCTTTTCCAGCGAAGCTTTCAACACCCGGTGATGGACTGATATTCATGGGTTATACCGATTCCACAGATTTGAGATCGCTTACCTCAGACAATAAGGATGCTGTGTTCAAGCCACCAAGGCAAATGGACTTGGGATAAGATTCCGAATTGTGAGAACCAACCTACCCACGTCAAAGCAAGGCCGAATGTGAGTTGGAAAGCAACGACACTAGCGAGTTGGACCTTTCAGTAATCAGACAAGAAATTATCCTCACGTAATAGCCTCCCTCGCTTATGTGTAATCTGACGGACTTCACATTTTCACGTGAAGCCCTCCGACTCTGACGGTCTAGTTTCGTTCTGGCTCGCGCACACCACGTATCTGACCATTGCGTTGTATCATTGTGAGCCCTCCATTTACAAGAATGTTTGAAATGACATTGACCCTTTAGCTGCTGAGCATGTAGTGCAAGTCGCTTTTTATTAGCTTGCTGATCGCGTCCCGCATGGACCGGACGTTGGCCGGCATTCACCAATAGGCTTTCACTGATGGCGTGTATGGCTTTGCTTCAATGGCTTGGGTAAGGAGTGGCCGAGAACGTGTGCCTTGAGGCTGGAAGCCTTCGGCCACGACTTTCTCGACTTCAATGTCACATTACAAGCGATGGCCGAACGGTGCGCCACCGGCAGCCGTCAGGCACAAGTAGCTGCTCCTCTTACCCTCACGCTTTGGAACCTTTGGTACGACCTTGAAGGCGACTGCTTTGCCAACGGCAACCACACAGCCGACCACATTGCCCTTGGTAACATCGGAAATTGCGGTCATTGAAGTTAGGTGACTGTCGTCCACGTTGAGGATGTTGTCGACGCCGACATACCGAAGGCTGCAACCGGCTGGCCAATCATATATATGGGTTTGGATTTTAAGTCTAAATCTGAGTGAAATGGGTCATGAGGTGGAAGACTTGACCACCGGGCCTGCTTTTATTAACGAAATGAGCATTCAGAAGAGTAGTCTTTACCTCCGGTGCAGGAGTCATTTTCCGCACAAATTTCTTCATGGAGATCGAGATGGAACTGGGATAGACTCCTGTCTTGTCACTGCTTGTACCTGAGGGACTGGGATCAAGCTCTTCATCGTTTCCTCGCTCGTATGAAGCATGTGTCTCTCGGCAGCAGCCAACTTTTCAGGAGTATGGTTAGGGCTGATTTCGGCAACAGTGTGGACCTGGGTTGCTGCATTGGTTTGAGCGACGGGGCTTGTGTCAATAGCTGTACTTTTGGTGACATTCTGAGGCTTGCCTCCACACAGTTAACGCACATGGCCGCGCAAATTCCCACTTTCAGTTGAGATATATTCACATTTCGAACAAGAGTTCGGAGATTAATAAGAAGATGAGTGCGGTTATAACTTATGGTTGCTGACTGAGACAGCCCCGCAGGAAGCACAGAAGTCCGTATCATGGCAAACGGTGCACTTGTACCATTCATTGACAGATTCATTGAGCTTCTTGCTGAAAATAGGAACGTCGCTATAGATGCTGCGGTGATGTTTCCGATCGATCTGTTGATTGCTACGTCTGTCATAGAAAGCCGCAAAGCAATGTCAGATCGCGAGGGGGCGTATTGGCGGCATTCTTGACACAGTCGTTGCTGTGGCTTTATCAGAGCAGTTCAAGCACTTAAAGCGGACGTCGAGATTGATTTCCTCGCATCAGTCGCAGACAATGAGGCTGCGACAAGGGTCAGGTCTGGTCTCAGAGGGCAATGGCAACACAGTCTCATGAGTAGCCGGCATGAGTTCATGGGCAGGGTGGTGGCCACGGCAATTGTCTGAGTGGCACTTGATGCGTAGATCTAAGTCATCTCAAACGGTACGGGTGATAACTCACGCTCTGGCAGAATCTCGATACAGCTACTGCAAGTGCGAGAAAGGACATGGAAGTCCTTAGCAAGCGTCTTCGTCTCATCGCCAAAGGCACCTGGTATCTGCTGCTGAGCGTTTACCTCTATCTTGCGAGGAAAAGCCACCGCCTTTGCCTTCGTCAGCTGAATGCACTCAGTCGTGCTATTGATAACCTTGCGACCTTGAATAGATCGCTTGAACAGTCAGTGGTCGTCACCTGAGCAGTCCTTGGCAGTTACAACGCAGCCCTCGGAGAGGTCGTAATATCCACAATCGCAGATGCTGCATTGGAAGTAAGTGTTGGCCATAGTTTTACCGTAGGCATTGCAGTAAACTGATCACGTGCGCAATGGAGATGTGTTTGACTCCGTAGACTCACGAGCACGAAATGCGAGCGTTGGCTGTGGTGTCTCAGTTCGAATGATCTGTTCTACTGGCTTTGCTGTGGGATAGAGGGAACGTGGTGCGGGAGCTTCGTCGTTGACAAGAGTCTTCTGAGAGTCCTGAGCCTCGCGGAATTTGAAGATGCCACTACTGGCGGATTCTCGATTGAGGGCAGCCGAGTTGTGAGCCGCACTCTGCAACGAAGTAAGGCCTTCGAAGTAAGGCCTTGGTGTGTCATCACCGCCAGGGTATGGTGTCCCGGAGAGGTACTTGCAATGACAGGTTGCATAAGCTTGGTAGGATCCTGGAGTTCTGTGGTTGTAACCTTCTCCACCTCTACGGCAGTGGCTACATAGAACTTGATTGGAGTGGCAGTTGCCTTGATATGGAGCTTCACATTCGCCTTAACAGCCCATATGAGGGTCTTAAGCACCTGAGGGATACTACCATCGTGCGTGATATAGCCGGCGTCACATTCAGAATGCCGCTCGGCTTGTTGTCAAGACCTAGATGGAGCTGCAACACTCGTCAGTTGCATGTTTTGGATTCATAGGGACGACAACGTAGTCAGTAGAAGCCATCATGCTGCGAGAGCCAAACTCCAGCTTCTTGTGGAACAGACTAGAGACTCATCTTAGCGAACAGCACAGTGGCCCCAAGATCGCGAAGAGGAAGCTTCAGCTATTTGGTGGCATCATTACAGTGATCTTAATAGTGATGACCGTTTACATCTCATTCACTGGATCTCCGCAGCCTTGCAAGTTGCTGCTTGTGCGATCACTGTTTCGAAACGCCCAGAAAGAGGTGATATACTGACGTACACCGGTGCTGCCTCCTCCCCTCATAGTTCACCCTCTCGCCCGATCGACTACTAATCAAATTCATTCCTCTAGCCGGTAAGTAATTGTATCACTACCGAATGGACGGTCGTTGTGGTACCATCTCGGTGGTGTATGGCGTCATTGGGTGTGTAGGCAGTCGAGCAGCGCTTCCCGATGGGCCAGTACCGGTCGTCCCTCCGTTTGCCGGCGCGGCATCCGCTGCGCTACGGCGTCCGCCATCTTGACCGCGGCGGCAGTGACCTTGCCCGTGACGTCGACCCTGGAGATGGCGGCCAGCAGCCGCCTGTCCAGCCCCTTGCTGTAGCGGCGCGCGGCCCATCGCGGTCGGCACGGCCATGACGCGCGCCTAGCGGAACACGGCGCCGGCAACCGCAATGGGGCCGAATAGGGCGGGGCAGTGAGCAGGGCTTTTCAGGGCCTTGGTGCGGGATTTATTTAGAGGATTGGCCTGACTTTGTGTTTGGAGTCGGTAGGACAACTGGGGCGATTTTCAGCTTCATTTCGCTTGGGTCTTTGACGTCGCCGACTCTGGGAATTAGGCTGTAAGAGAAGACTGAATACGCTGGGGATTTTGGGAACGAATCAGTAGTGCTTCTTGTCAACCTCTTGATGCGGCTGCTTATCATCGAAACGAAAGTTGCAGCGAGACACAACGCTGATAATCCGGAGTCCACTGGCAACCCGGACGCGTCCCGAGGCGATGGCGATCATAACGACACGGAAGACGAGAAACGGCAAGGAAATGGCGAAGGAGAGCCGCTCCCCGGCGAAGAAGCAGAAGAAGACTACGACAAACACACGGAACGTCAACAGAAACTCGGATCCTAGTGCTCTATCATCCCCTGCCTTGCTGATCCGGGCGTATCGACATCATCCCCTGTCGCGTTGGTGCAGGTCGTGCTGTTGGGAAGTTACGATGCAACGATATCCACCGTCGCAGAGAATCTTGTGTTCTTCAACTTCAGCTTCCTCAAAGCTGGTCTCTTGTTTCTTCCACAAAGAGTCTGCGACCTGATACTGGGACTCGTTCTAAATTAGGAACGAAGCCCGTCGCCGATAGATCTTATGGAATCCTTGTTCTAGCCTTTGTCATGAATCGCCCCCCACATACCTGGAAACGAGACCAAATTCTCTTTTATGGCGGCTTGCTGGCGCACTGCGGCATAGGGTTGGCCGGAGTAGGACCGCGGGCGTTCATGGACTCAGACGCAATCATACAGAAATACCATGAGGTGAATCCCAAGTTTATTTTGAGAAGAATCGTCCCTATCCGCAGCTGTGCGATTTAACGAACATGGTATTCAGCCTTGGGTAGCGGTAGGCTGTGAGCTTGCGGACGAGCTGAAGAAGGCAATTGACTACGTAAACAGAACGTTGTACTGGCAGTCATGCGTGCTGTGACAAGTTTGTGGAGCTTCTCTTTACTTGGAGGTCGACCAAGCATAATTCAGAAACGCAAATCGTGACTAAAAGGTTCCTCGTACGAGTTTTTGTCGGATTCATCAGCATTCCTCTTGCAAATGTCAGCATGGGACAGAGTCTTGTCGTTGTGAAGGCTGCTTGCTGGGTGGTAGCAAGTAGGCAGGCACAATTATCATGGGTTAAGTGCTGAAGTGGCGCGTATTATCACCACCAAGGCTCGAAATTCCTGAATTAGCAGAAAGATGATAAAAACATCCACCTAAATGTACTAATACCATGACAGAGTATGTGTATAGTGAAGTGTCAGCATTCGTTGTCAAAGTCAATGAGGCCATTCTACTTCTCTGCATCGATATTTCACATGGACTTGGACACTGGTAGATCATCTGCTGAAGAGAGCAAACACGTGCACGCACGCGACAAAAGCAAAACATTCCTATCGTCATCATGAACGTAATTCGACGCAGCTAATATTATGGCGATGATCTAACAATCAAGGGCCCTCTCACCCCTCCGTTACTACTCTATCGCTGAATTGTAACGTGAAGGTACATAAATGCCGTCGGTTCTCCTTCATTTCAATGTGTCTGCTTCGGCACCTGAAGTGTCTCCAATCTCTTGAGTGCTTCTGTATCGGCAATGGTCTCACTGGAACCAGAGCTTACGTTGGGAGATTGCCTGACGGTGTGGTCTGTACTGGTTTTGTTGAAGTAAGAGAGGTGTTGCTGATTGCCCATGAGCTCGTTTGCTGTCGGCTGAGGTGATCTCGGGCGAAATCTGGGCGCGATACCGCGGCCGAGACTCGGACTGGTGTGAGGCATATATGTTGGTTAGTTGATTGATGGTGTTGAAATATGTTTGATTTGTCCTTGGCGATTTTGCACTGTTGCTTGGGGCGTTGAAGATGTGATGTGTCGTGACATTGATCAAAATAGGACTTATTGTCGGAATGCTAGCCTACACATGTACCGAGCGTGACATGCTGGATACATTGATGCTAACCCTACCGTCATCTATCCGTCAAGGGCCAGGACGAGCATGAGAGACGGGGACGGCAATTCACCCAAGAACGCCCAAACCGTGGGGATAACGAGAGTGTGTGGAAATCGCCCGGGAGCCCAAGCTCTTGTTTAATGTGGTGGTCCTCAGTACTAGTCGAGAAACACACTGAAATGGTAGCGTGTGATGGGCCCTGGCGAAGGCGGCTGGACTGCCTTGCCTTCTGAAATGAGCAGGTCATGCATGCCAATATCTCCAAGACTTCCAGACATTGAGATATCTTCGCCGACGTCTCTGTCGTTAACAGTACCTTTGAATTCGCGTATATGAAGTTGTCATCATAGAATTGTCCTGGCAGACGGTTGTCTGGAAGGCTGGATCGAGAGCGCTTGTTCAATTTGAATCTATGGGTGTTATCCACTTCACTATCCACTTGCCGCATTTCTGATGCGCTGTTTCATGGCTCACGGGGCCGTGGAGCTGTACAGAAGAGACCATTCAGCTGTTCGTCGTCTGTTCCATCTCGCACCAATGTACTTAAACTGGCTTCGCTTGTAGAGAACGTGCCGCTTGACTAAGCATTCTAATTGTCAAAACCAACTTTCTTGCTAAGTTGCGATGAGTTGCTCATAGGCTCTGGCTGCGGATTGAAGAAATCGTTGCGAAGCGACCGGTCATTGTTGAGTTTACGCATGCTCACGATCTGCAGGTAGCGGCCGGATGCGCTGTTTGGCAGAGGTGACTGTGTAAGCGCTGTGAATAGTCACCTCGCCCCTGTAATTACAGCGTACTCCCCGGTTAGTCACCCTATAGCGCAGTGCCCGGCAGACCGGTTCCTCCCGTTTTCGGCGCTAAAATCGGGAGGGATCCACTGCACATCGCTGTATCTACAGAAGGTACCTCCCGATTTTAGCGCTGAAATAGGGAGGTATCCACTAACCGCCCCGTGCAGAGCCCTTAAGGTACGTACCTCACAGTGAAGTGAGGCGGAGGTATTCCACGGCGCTGACCGGGCACCTCATGTAATACGATCGACTGTCTGCCCCCCTCCCCCCCGCGCTGTCGCCGCCCAAGGACTTATCGAGAAGAAGTGAACTTAGTATGATGCGTCTGCAGGAGAAGATGTTGAGGAAGTTTCGAGCCGACATACTAGGGGTGTGCAGAAGAAGATGACGGATCTCGAGGTGAAGGCATCACAATTACAGACAGAACTAGATAACGCGACACCATCCTCCTTGGTAGCGCGGAAAACCCACAATCGTACCACGTGGCTACTGTGGCTTTGCATTCCATCCCTCCTGTTCTATCTTGGCCTCGGGCAGTGAAGATTGCTCTATCAATACATGGGGCTATGACCTGGCGGAAATAGAACGGACACTCAATTCGCATGCCAAGCTGGACGTCGATTTGAGTGGTGCCAGAGGGATTGCTCTCCTAGCAAACTGCAGGTCTAACTTGGCCATCAAGCTCTCGGATCCTGCCGAGGAATACGAGAACATTCGAACGCTACCAGGGCATAACCAGAGCGTCATCTCGGTTCCATCTATTCGCTCAGGCGCGGGAGGCGCTGCGCTTCTGGGAAATCTATCGGCCAGCAGAGACCAGACAATTCGAAAATGAACATAACCCCAGAAAACTGCCTGGGCGCTCTACGCGGGCACCGCGACACCGCGATTGGGTGTGGTCCTACCGACTGGACGAGCGGGGGCTCTTATCCACGTCCCTCGACTAGGTAATTCGCTTTCGGAATCTTTCTCAACCGGACTCCAATGCTAAGAAACAGACTTCCTTGCTATAGGAGCACGTGGTAGAGTGCTGCCTTTGCACCTATGATTGTATACGCACACTTTGCCGCCATCACCGGCGTGAGGAAACTTGATTCAGTTAGCAGAAGTGCTGAATACCTTACGACATGTGAAAGAGATAAACTTATCAAATTGCACACCTCCCGAGGAGACCAAGAAGCACTTTGGCAAGATAAAGATTGTGATGAGCAACAGCGGTACCGAGTCTTAGGACAAAACGGACGAGATTCCTTGGGAGAAGTAGGTGCTGTAACCACGTATTAGGAAGATTAGAGCGAAAGGGAGAGAGCGGTCTCGTGCCCTTGCTGGTCTCTGCTCTGACAGCTCCAATTGCCAAGCGGCAGTAAACCTACACAAACTTGCTCTCTGGGTACGACCACGCCTTTAATCTCAACGACCGTGCATAATCTTCGTTCGCTGGGCACTTTGAGAACAACGGTCGCCTGATTCTTATGAACTCTATTGCTGCTGGTCTTCTTGGTATTCGTGACTGTGTTCTCTACATTTCTCCAAGATGACTGTCATTCTGCATGATCAAGGCCTTCGCCGCCAATTTTGATATTTTTAGCAATCAACAGTGTCGCTCCTCGTGGTGTCAGGTCTGAGATACTCACCTAGAACGCATAGTACGCAAATTTTGTTGGTTTAATACTTTCGGATTAGTAAATGCGGTCACTGACGATTGATAGGCTACGCACTATATTCCTGGCGGCACCTCAGACTGGCCAGCTGAGAAAATTGAGACTCTGATGGCTGAGCCCTACGCTCTCAAGCGCTGCGCGACTCCTGAAGAAATGGCCCGCGTTTTTGCCTTCCTTGCTTCTGATGATGGCGGCTGGGTTAATGGTTAGATCACATTTGGACTGGCCGCGGTCTGTCATGAACTCAATGGTTGACTCACGAAACTGGTTAATTCATTACTAATTCTGACGGCTTTTCCCATTCGAGAGCTCTGGTATCATGAAGGTAAGAGTATGAGAACGAGGCATGACTTCCCAAAGTAGGCATGACGATGTGATTTAGTAGAGCCAACTGGATTAGAAAATTGCTTTTCTGGAGTACGAGTCGTGGTCATGAAAAAAACAGGTTTGACGACGGAAGAACACGACACAATGTGTGTAGAGAAGTTGTAGATAGCGCTATCTGAAGCAAGACGGCATGGCTCATTCGACTCCCGGATGCGTACACGCCTTTGCCTTATAAGCTGTAGGATCATCTTTCTCGACACGGTGATTGATATGCTTGGCGTTCAAGTGACGTTAAGACCTTTCTGCGCTTCAATACGGCGAGAATCGCTCTTGTCTATCTACATTCCTTTGTCGAGATACTGAGTAGTTTTAGTTTCCAAGCAGCCTGACCTATAACAGTAAGCTAGGTTTAGCCATGGTCAATGGAAACAGTGGGAACGGGATCGCCAGTCCATTCCGTTCACATGCTGTACCTCCGGCCAAGCTTCTTTTGCTAGTTGCAGCTCCTCAGGTTTGGGTCATCTTCGCCGTTGAAATGGGATCATTGTGATGATGCTCATCCATCCTCACACAGACGACGATCGTTGAGGCCCATCATCAGATGAGATGCTCGTCGAAATGGAGACACATGTGTTTCGCTTACAGAACCTTCCGCGGGAGAAGAGGCGTGTCGGAGTCCAGGGCCCGCAGCTCATACCGACTTCGCAAGCTGACAGGAAGTTGAGACGAGGCTTGAATGACTCAGTATCTGGGTAGGGAATGTCAGCTCTCACTCACTTGGAATGTCTTTTAGTACGACGATCGAAGCCATCAATGCTCCCGTTGCCGTAAGCGCCGTGAGGCAGAATGTACATATGACACGGCAAAATCAGAGAAGACGCGGACATGTGCATTGCGACGCGAGATTAATGAGTTGAAGGCAAACTTTGTCTTAGATCAATGTCGCAGGGTCTTGTCGTTTTGCGAGACTTGCCGATGGACGAGGCATGGCACCTCATCACTGACCTACTGCATGAGGATGACACTATAGCTTCAATGCTCAAGCTCGGCCTTCGCATTCAACGTCAGTCGTCGTCCCTGAACAGCCAAATTTTCATGCTGGACAATACGGGCGCTAGCCTCCCTGACATCGAATTGAGCGTCCAATGTCAGCTCTATTTCTCGTTCCCCAAGTTGTACCCTCCACTTGTGGCCGATGAGGTTTGGTCAACCTTCTCGAGGGCCCGTAACGTCGAATCCCATGACTGGCAAAGCAAGCAATCCCGGCTCCTGTTTCCCGTGCCTTACGTGACAAGAGAGGATTGGATGTATGCTGCTGGCACAACTCCCGCTGAGGATGGGTTTCGAATCATGTATGGGAGTGTTTGGACCACCGAGTTATGTCTCGGCTGCGGGAAGAATGTCCACATAAGCATCGACCTAGTAAAGCGCGCTCTAAATGCTTACCTTCGAACAGACAGTATGCTGTTTGAGTCCATGGACATCGAACTGTTTCCCACCGATGTTTCCAACTGTAGGAAGCGATTCTGTACGACAATATTCGTCAATGCCGTGCTACATTATGCTTGCGTAAGTGGACAGGCAACTCCATGCTGCTGGAGGGTTTGCGACTCTTAGAGGCTCGTATTGAGGTCAAAATTGGAAAAGTTGATCAAGAAACATCGTCCTCGATCCTTCCTTTCCGATCGGCAAACGAGAAAGTGCTTAAGGGCAACGCCGTTGTCCATGTCGCTAAGATTGCAGGTGATCTCTGAACGTACTTAACACCATGACGGCTTTCACTGGGCCGTTTGCGCGGGTTGCGTCGTTTCTGGAAAAGCCTCTGCAACCAAGCTCATGGTTGGCATTTTCCAACTTCGGGATCTAGGTTCCCAGATCACCTTCGGTGTAGGGAGCGTGTAACTGACTGTTGACAGATATCGGGCGCGCATCGACGGTTCGAAGATGTTACTCCTATTTCTTCCCTTGTAACTTTTCTTCTTCGCAGTTTGCCGCCTGGAGGCGCACCTTGTTGACTGCCGTATGACTCTCACAAGGAAAACTTCGACGGCCAGGATGGCCTCGGATGTCACTCCTCCTACACTCACGACATTGCTTGTCCCCTATCGAGGGCTTTCGAGCCATATCAAAGTGATCTTGTCAAGGTTGCTCGCTCCAGACGTGGATAAGATTGCTGGCCACGGATATCGTTGCGAGACCATATGCTCAATTTTCAGTCTGCTCGAGAGTCTGTGATGCTCTTAGTTTCGAGGGAATTGTCAGACAAAGAGCGAACCTTGAAGGTCGCCTCACTCTGTCGACGTGCTCTCGACAATTCGACGACAGCAAGCCCCCGCAAGCTCTCCATACTGAGTTGACTCATCAGGGCTATTGCCCAGTGAGTTATATCTCGGTCAGTGGACCCGAGATGGGCGATGTTGATGAGAATTGAAAGATGTAGATCCATTTCTCGATCTTGAGAGTGTTGCAGCCTGGAGCGTACCACCTTGGGACCCTCCTCGGACTTCAAGCGTCCCACGGCACAGCAGCAGCATTTTTTGTAGCATCGGCCAGACAACTTCAACATCTCAGTTCTATTCACCGGCGATTCCATGCACAGGCTTCCTCGACAATTGCCTAATGTAGGCTTATGTTCTTAGCAGTCGTGGCCTTGACGCAAATTCGATCCATGTCGAAGACAAAGCTGAAATTCGAAGCTCTACTATGACTCTTCGCGAATCTCGCGATATGGTTTCCAGCACTTCGAGATCTTATGCAAAGTCTGGCTCAGACTGGGTATAATACTCTCCTATCAAGTCAGCAGAAGGTCGTCTCGCTCTTCGGAGACTTATCACGCTTGTGTCAGGCCCCCGTGGGAAGCGAAAGGCAAGCTTGGACATTTGATTCCTGACGCCAAGTAACCACCTTGAGAATTAGCAGCTCGCAGCATTATTGAGAAAAAAGACCTATCACACACACTTCTTCACGCCGCACATCATTAAGGAGGTTTGACGTGGAGCAGTTCTTCAGGCTTATTCCTGAGCTATCAGAACAAATTTACAAATCGCCATTGTTTTGTCAATACGAGGCTCTACTGCAAAGCAGTTCCTTGTGATGAAGTACTCAAAGAAATGGTCCCTATATCCATATCAGTTCAAATCGTTCAAGGACGACTTGGTCCAATAACCTGCCCGGTCTATTATGACTCTTCTTGACCCTGTGAGACCCGACAGACTCCTGCACATCGACATGTAAGGAATGGCTTTCATTACACTGCTCCCGTTACTGATTATGATGAAAAGCGTATTCTTACAAAAGAATGCTTGTAAGCGCCTAATGGCACCATAGCGAGGCCTTGGCGAGCCCTAGAACGAGAAGAAAATTGAACTTCAGGCTCATGATATTAAACGAGCACGTTCTCATCGACAAGGTCTTCGCAGCAGACGAAGCTTTATTGGAGACTATGGGATATAGCAAGAAGTCAACCCGTATGGTCCATCACTTAGAACGCTTCCTATCTTGCATTTGAAACACTGGCGTAAGTTATGTTGCTCATCACTTGCTACCATATTCTGCATTTCAGAGATTAGCTGGCATTGCAGGTAGACGATTAGGTATGTCGGCGAGTACTTTTAATAGACCGACTAAGTTTTCAATGGCCAGAGGTCTGTGTTTTCCATTGGTTCTTCACGGAACTAAAACCACATCCAAAGTCGACACGATTACGGGTCACATATCGTAACTGAAGCGTCCTAGGCTTCTCGGCCGGAGATGAACGCACTTGCGACATGGTCCTCAGAGGCCGCGAGTTTAGAAACCTCGACCAGCCTAGACGAAAGGCATTCGGTAAAGAGTTCTTTTGCTTGAACATCGTGATGCTTTTGTTGTCAACGTTTTTCAGTCGCTCCAGATGCCTTAAACATTCATTTTACTACCTGATTTCGTGCAACACTGAGTTTAAAAGTTAGCTGCAGACTGCTGCGACTAGAGTTTGGAAAATAGGAAGCCAGAAATTATAATTAGGTGCAGCTTTACTGCCACCTGATGTCTCGCATATACATAATTGAAGGCATGCTTCATTCAGAAGTGATGCCTAGGAGGTGAAGAACAAAAAGATTACGAGTTGTTCGATTCGTCAACGTCAAACAGCATGGGTTACCCAAATCTGGATCTTGGTTGGTAAGTCTAATCACCCGTTCGAGGCTGATGCTGCGTGGGAGACAGCTTTTCGCTTCTCAGACCATGAGAAGCTTTCGGAGAAGAGTGAAAGAATACTATTTTTTAGTCAACATTTGATCGCAATAATGCAATCTTTCAGAGGAAGAATTGTCTTGGCAATCACGATTCACCAGTATGATTTGCAGCATTAAAGTCTCTTGTGACATCTTTGGAATAGATATGGCTCCCGCGTGAGAAACTTTGCAGCCCTTCTTAGTATGGTCTATGAAGTCACTTGCATCAAGCACAAAGATGGGGACGAGTATACGCCCACTGGTGCTTCAGTCGAGTCCATAGTGGTCGAGCAGATCTAGAACTTGGCATTGGCAATTAAGAAGATTTTTCCGGCCAGGCCTGTTCCCGCCATCAATAAATCTCGATCCAAGAACGTTTTGCGTGGGAGGTCAAAGTGATAACTGAAGATCTTAGCCGGCAGCCAAAAGCATGGGTGTCTGTATCCGCTTTCGTTTAACTGAACTTCAATACTCAGAGCCTGCTACGGTAAATTGGCATCTGTGGTGCTTCCCAATTGGCTTCCCAGCACCGTTTTCCATTTCAGGGTACATTTATCTCATAGTCCTTGTGTGGTCGCTCCTCTCGTCAAAGTGGGGGCAATGGTTGTCGGCTTTCGGGCTGCCGTAGTCGACGATGTCCAATGTCTAGCCTTTGCCCCATCACGAACAACC